CATAAAAAAAAGATAAAAGACAGAATAATATCTATAATTATATGATTTCAGAGTTAAAGATATTGTATTCACACATTTGATATACATACAGTTTGTTATTTATAGATTTAATTACCAATATACAGTGTTGCATAACTGAATCACAGAACCATGTATTACATATTATTATAAGTTGGGTTCCATAAACATATTTTTTATTCGTTATACTTGTATAGCATATTTCCATATTATGGTATATTTTATTACTAATTATTACATAAAATACAAATTAAATTATTAAATATTTATGACTAAATAATAAAAGAAAATTTGTTTATTAAGGTGTAAAGTTAAGATTAAGTCTTTATTGCGATATTTGTAGTTATGTATAAAATTATAAATAATATTTTTTTAAACATAAAAAAATATATTTTAATTGCCAAAGTTTATTTAATTTATCTATGATTTATAAAAATATGATTATTAAGAAGGAATATAAACACATTTAGAATTAATTTTATCTTAACATTTCACTTCATCTTAAAATATTTATAATTTGCTTATAATCAGACATGGCTGATTAAAAAATTATTGAAAATACATTATAAAAAACTAACAAAATTATTTGTTTGAAATTTCAATTTAAAATAATAATTCATATTCATTTTTACTAAGATATTCGTTTACAATTTTTTATCATAATATTTATTATCAAAATCATCTATTATTTTATCTATATAATTACTTCATTAGACAATTCCATCGTTTTTTAAATCATCATGCAAACATTTTATTCAATTAGAAACATGTTACAAGTTTATTGAATTAAGAAGTTGGTATGATATTTATACCAACTTGTACCTAGAAAATATTGAAAACTTATCAAAATAATGGTGAACTGCATAATAAATATTTCAGACTAAATTCACGTTGTTTCTAGATATAATCAGATTAATCCAATAAAGGATAAAACATAAAAGATATCCAAGGATTTATATATTTATTGAAATTTAAATAGAAAATAACTTTGACAAAGTGCGACAGTATAAAATCTTGAAAAAAGATCTTAATAAACATTTTCTATAAATAAATTTATGAGCAATATTATTTGAAAAACAATGAAATTTTATTAAAATATTATAATATATAATTAATAAATGTTATAAAATTATATAGTTTTTAAATGGTATTCAGTGTATAAATGTTTGTAAATATAAATTTATCATTGTGTAGTGACTTTTAATGTAGGGCTTAAACTATCAATTTATTTATCCAACTATATTAGCTATAATTCTAAGTTTTTCTACGTTCTGATCTTCCATAATCTTTCATAATTTTTTGTAAAGAATCGCAGTTACCATCTGATGTTATTAATTACCATCTAAATTAAAAATCATTAATTGAAATTAAGTTCCCATTTACTCTGAATAATACATACAATATTACTTTGAGAATGTTACTTAAAATATAAATAATATTTGAGTAAATTAATTATATCTATAATCAATAGATATAATAGAATTTAGCTTTCAAACACATAAAAATAAATAATTTAATATTTTTAATCCTTTCTGGGCTCAGTTGGATATTTATTAGAAATAATTATATTGTAATATTATTCTAATCTCTTTTAACATTTAAAGTAAATATAAAATCTTGTGAAAATAAATATTAAAATATATAATTTTGTTATGAATATATATTAGTAAATGAACGTAATTTCTTTTTATTTTCGAGATTTGTGAAAATAAATAATTCTTTTATTTATTTTATATATGTTTTAGAGAATTTGTTGCAAATCAAAACGTTTTATTAAAATTTATGAAGCTTCATTGGGATATTTTTATCATAATACTACTTTTAGGTTAAGTAATGGAAAATATTATATAGGTTTTTATATATTTAATATATTTGTAGATATTGTTATTAAAACGGAAATTTTTTGTCTTAACATATATCATATTATTCATAAATAGTTAAGATTACTACTCAACGAATGAAATAGAGTATAAGTTTAAAAAATTTTTTTATCATTTTTGTTACTTTTTCGAAAATACTAATGTTCCTAATTTTTAAATGTTTAAATAAAAAAATACTTGATTGTATATAAATATTATACACAGTTTGTTATTTATTAATATATTTATTAATATATTAATATAATATTTATTAATATAAATTCTAATACATTTATTAAAACATATATTGCAAGCTGGAGTTTTATTGCATATTATTGAATTGATCATCAATAAAATAGCTGTTTCAATAAATTAAATATTTACATTGAAAAGTAAAAACTTCTAAAAAAAATTAAGCAAACATTCAATAAGCAAAACTAAGTAGGTAGAAAGAGATAATGGCCACAAATCAAGCAAATCAAAGATTTGTCAGAAGGGAGTGAGTAAATGGTTATTATTTTGCATAAAGTTATATATTGAAGTTCGTCAATTTAGTTGTTTCGTACCGATAACATCAAAACCGCAATATGGAAATCAATCAATTCAGGCTTCTTCAAAAGTTGTATGAGGTGCATTCAACGAATTGTGATTGCGTTTTATTTACTTGTTTATGTCTATTATTAATATGTATTATGTTGCTTAATCGTACGCGTTATTTATCAAAATATTGTATGCTAAAATGATAAAAATATGAAAATATTTCTTTTTTGGAGCTATTTGTTAATTTTACCAATATGATATTAATATAAAAAGGAAATTGAAATTGTTTATAAAAGATTAAGACAATAAAATAGTAAAAAATGTAGAAATTTTCGACTAATGAAAACATTAAATAATAATTATTTTATAACATTAAGCAGATAAAACCTACCAAAACAAAAGATTTTGTAATTTGTATTCATTAAGAAGAATGTAATAAAATTTCTATATTAAACAAGTAAAACAGTAAATTTATAAATAAATCTTATAAAAATATAATTTTTCTATTATAAAAAAATTATTACAAAACAAATAACAAACAAATATATATTGAATACATTTCTTATAAAATAAAGTGATGAAAGTACAAATTTCTATTCAAAATAAATTTGTTTAAAATGATATTATTTTTTATCGTAGATTGTAAGATATTCTTATAGGTTTAAATAGAAAAATAGATTTAGAAGTACTATTGTATACGATGGAAGCTCGAGTAAGGGAAAATCTTTCTTCCTTAAAGTAACTATACGTATATTAATTATAATTATAAAATTTAAAGCTTCGAATAAAACTTCAGGACATAAGCGTATCGGGGCTGAACAGACTTTGTATAGAATGATTTAATTTACAGCTCCCTTATTTGATATTTAAGTACATCTTGAAAAAAAGGTTGGATTCTTAATAATAGGACGTTTACATTATAAATGTAATAATCTATATAATTGAATGGTATAAAATACATCATCTCCTAAGTTTATCTTAAATTTAACATTAGTTTGTTTATTAATATTAAATTTTCTTCCGAATTCCTATAAGAATGCATGCATAAATTATAAACTATGTATTCGATTTTACATAAAGCAGAGCTGTACGTACCTACATATATATATAGATATATTAAAACTAGACACAACAATCGATGCGCTGAAAACACGTAAAAGAAATTTTTTATGCAAAAAATCACGATTGAATGTTGACATCGTATTATTATCAATACATGGTGATTAAATTTTACTTTGAAATTAAAAGAAACTTTTTCGCTTATAGTTTTGAGAATAAATAAGAAAAACTAGTTTATTTTCATGAAATTATTTCAAAATTTTATAATAATAAAAGTTCTATTTTCATAACAGTAAAAAACAGTCGAAGAGAGTTTGAAACCTGAGATAGAGTAGAATGTCAGTTAATGTCTTTCATTGTTCTTTTTTATACTAAAGTAGAACATAGTGATGACAAGGATGAGTTCAATCTCGATGTTACTCATCTTAAAGATGTTGTAAAATGGCAAATTTTACCTCTGCTAGTTTTAACTATTATGATGCAGAGAAGGATCTAATGAGGTTTCTTGTCTACAAGTCGTAAATCTTTATCTCTATTACCATTTTTTAATGTTCAAGAAAATTGTCTCTGCAAATATATGCGTTCTCCATCATGGAAGCCTTGCAGCTATGATTATACGATTATCATAACTTTTTTCCCCATTCGCATAACAATTTCGAAATTAAATAGCATTTTTATGTTAAAATAAAAAAAGCCGTAAAGATCAATAAATCTTATTGCATTACTTACTGTCCTTCTTTAACTATAGAAATGGTATATTTTCATTTACAAAATAAAAAAACAAAGGAAATGATTATCATACATGAACACATGAAGTTTCATGTGCCTAGTTTTATACATTTTGGTTAATTTTTAAATAAGTTTGAAGTTTCTTTATATATTTATTTATACGAATTCTCATTGTTAAGGAAAATATTTTATTAAAAGTTAAATCAATCATCCGATAGTTTTATCACCATGTTATGGCAATAAAAAATATTTCTACTGAAAATCAGCTCAGCTAATGATGAATTTTTGGAGATTCTAGAATTTCAAATATGAAGAAAAATCATATAGATAATTTTTCGTCCATTAGAACACTCTGTAGTCATTGTGATAAACACAAGAAATTATGTAATTTGCCGTGGAAAGTTTCTAGGTTAGTTATCTTTTGAATTCATTAGATTGATTATAATTTAATCGATACATTTTTCTAATAAATTAATTTTAATATTTTAAAGTAAAAAATTATCTAATAACTAATAAAAAAATATAATAAAAATCAAGTTGTATCTTATATTTATCAGCCTACTGGCGTAAGTTCTGTATAATAATATAACTAGATTTACAATACAAAGATAATACTGTGTACAATGCGATATACATTAAGTTGATCGTATTTTTAATAATTAGAACTACTCGATAAACATTAATTTCTTACGGAAAGAAATGAAAAAGAACTTAAAATCCTTTTGTAACTATATATTTAGATATATCGGTACAAATATTATAAATTAAATGAAAGATTGACTTCTGAGCTTGGACATGACTTTATTTACTTACCCCTTTTGCAATAGAATATGTAAGAACTGTTCGTGGAATTATTCATCGTTGAATAATGAGAGAAATGAATGGGTTAAACGCGATATAGCGAGTAGTCCACTTGCACAATCGAGTGATCGTGAGGCTCTATTCCGTTCGAGTGCAATCATTCAAAATTTCAAACGACGAAAGCAGTATTCTGACTTACCATCACCGACTTCCTGTCTAAAATCTATCGGCAGTAATAAAAGTAAAATAATAAAATCGATTTTAAAACCTATAGCTTAACTGGTTCGATTTGCGTGACAGAGAATAACGGCCTGGAGAAGCGGGTTAATTTCTATGATGAACGGTTTCACCAGCAAGTTTCACCTCAATTTTCTAATTCCTCGAGTTACTATGAACCATCGCAGTATAATTTATTAAATGAGAGTTCAAGTACTATAAACAAGGAACTGTGCGAATCCAAGCGTATCTGGAAGAAGAGTGCATTAAATAGTCCCGATGAACCATTTGAGAAGGCGCTTTCGTTTAGGCGATCACCAATTATTAGGAAGTATGTTACGAAGAAACTCAAGAACGATGTGTTACAGAGTACAAGACAGCCTATCAAATGCCAAAACATTGTTGCTTGTAAGAATATATTGTTAAGATTCTTTTAACTTTTAATTGAAAAACAACTTTTTATTTAAAATTAATTACAAAAACTAATTACAAAAACATTCATTTACGTGCTTCTCTCAAATTGATTATTCATTTGGTAAATATTTTAACAAATGTCAAGATAATTATGTTAAACTTTGAAAATATTTTATTACTATAATGTCTAATATAGAAAAAATTATTTTTAACATAAACATTAACATAAACATAGTTTTACACGATGTTATTCGGTATGTTAAATGTCTGCATTAAATAAACAGTTTTGTACGTAATGGCATAAGCTGTAATTTTATATTCAAATTACATTTCTTATATATTTTTGTTTATTAACATTAAATTTATAATGCAATAACAATTGTAATTTACACGTTGTATAGTTAAAACTAACCGAATTACATGTATTCTAATATTGCATGAAATGTCATAGCATATGATAACATTAACAAAGTACAACTATTGAATTCCCAACAAAAAAAAATGTAGCATCGATCAGGATTTTACATCACGCTTTAATTATCCTTAATTGCACTTTTTTTTGTATCAAGTAAATTCATGAAATAACAGCAATGAGCAGTCCTTTGCATCCTTTCACTGAATCGGTGTTGAAGCAGCAGTTAAGAAGGAAGTCAACCAAGTTAAAATCGCATCGTAATCTTTCCTCCGGTTCATCCTTGGGTACGAACGTCGACGAAGACCTCGAGCAGGTCCTCAATCGTATGTCTCTGAATTCAAGTGTATGCTCTTCCTCAGCAGTAAACATCGAAATATCTCCGAAGCCTCGGGTAATGAAACCACGCGACGGATTCAAGAGGGCAGCTCTCAAACGAATGCTTATCTACCCACCTGAGGGTCAAAGGGGTTCACCCTTGACCCTTTTTAAGACCTGGTCGAACATTGACTGTCAGGTCAGGGGTAGTGCAAGTAAAGGTTTCAGGTATGTTTGAAAGGCTTTAATATTAAAATACAAAACCATATGCAAAACAACCTCTCAGACCAATTTGACACAAAAATTTTACACACAAAATTGAAAATTGTATGTGTGTACATGCGTGCGTCAACTTTCTGCGTGGTCATCATAGGAGGTTAATCTAAAACTTTAATTTATTATGAATACAGGATATAAAGTATTGCTTTTTTTGTATTTCGTGACGTAAGTGTGAAGTCTTGAATTGAAGATAGACTTTATTATTAATCCTGTTGTATAATTCTAGTAGCTAAAAGAAGAGTATCGAATGCTCCTATATTTACTAAAACAAAGGAAACATACGCTAATCTGTTATTTATATTTCTGTTAATATTTTTAATTTTAGTAAAATATATAATATATTTTAGCAAATTACATTTAAAAAATTGATTTTCATCATTTATTGATTTATAATCTTCCTATAATATTCTAATATAACTTGAATACAAGAATGTTTCAGAATCTTTTTAGAGATGAAATAATAAACTATACTAATTTCTATATTTTAATATATTTATTTTTAATATATTGTATGATTAAATAATAAGTAATGTATGATTAAATAATAAGTAATGTTTTACTGATTGTTGAGAAACAAACAAAACTACTACATTACTACATAAATTTATAGAAATTATACGCTTGCGCATATATATTTACACAATATTTTTCTCACTAATCAATATGTATACTACATTAGATATGTATACTACTTTATACTACTTTGCAAGTTCATTTGTTTGACGATATTTATATTTTAATAATTCGATTTGTTTTAATTATTTAAAAATAAATAACAATATTAATGTTTATTTATTATTATATTCTTTTCTATAACCTGTTATTTTCACATATTCATTACATTAGCTTTGTTTATTCTTTATTAACATAACTTACTATTGCATATATCTTAAAATAATATTTATATAATTGTCGTTGAAACATCAAATCTGTTTTTGATATTATAATTAAACAGATTTTTAATTTTGCAGGTACAAAGTATATTATATCCAAAAGTTCGAAAGCGATAAGTGGTTTCCAAACGATAAAACCGGAAATCCATTTCGCAAAAAAGACGATGCTGATTGCTCGACGGATTATGGCTGACGATAATCTATATTCTAGAAATTAAAATTCAAAAAAAGAATTGATATCTATGTTTTTGTTATGAGATTTATTTATTATGTGACAAAGTGAGCATTTATTTTATGTTAAACGGAAGTTATAAAAATAAATTAAAAAAAAAAGAATGATTTATTGTTAACATTTTTTAACTCGGATAATATGAGACCTCATTTGCTGTTCTAACTTGCATGCATCGTGAATTTTTCTCGATTGTTCATTATTTAAAAATATTATTTATTCACTCATTGATATTTTTAAAGAAATCGTAATTTATATTAAAAGTATTTTCTGTACAACCATATAAAACGATAAAAAAATATTAAATTTAATAATTTAACTATAAATTACGTCTTAAATAAACGTAGGTTCTTATTTATAATTGTATTGATCAAATACAGCTTACTTCAGAAGAAGTAAAATTTGAAAAATATAAATATTCATAAGATACAATGTGAATATTTAGTTAGCTTTTGGATGGTCTGTTTATACTAGTAATTTTGAATTTGTAAATAAACACCATACAACATAGAATGAACTATAAATATGTGAAGCAATCAATGGCAGCAAAGTTAGTCTATTTGGTATTCACGGTGGGTTGGATTTATTATTTTCTGAATTTGTGATATGAATAATCTACATTCCGTATTTTTTCATATGCTTCTGTTTAATACATAGTCAAATTAAGTGATTCATCGAGTATTTATTTGATTTATAAAATAAGATTTAGGTATTTATTTATTGAGTCTTTTAATTTATTTGTTTATTTTTTTAAATATGTGGAAAAACTTTAAATTCTTAAGTTTCATAAAATATTTGATCGTGATATAATTTTCCTATATTTTAATTTGTTTAAATTAAATTAAATTGAAATAAAAATTTAGTGATAATTAGAAAATGTATAATTTTATCTTTTTATTTTCGATATATTATATAAGATTTTTATTTTTACTGTCATAAACTTAAGTAAAACCATGAAAAATAAAAAAAATATATATATTCAACATACAATCAAGCCGATTACTTTGAAAAATTAATGAAAAACTATGTAATATCTATATAACATAAGATATTAATATTATTTAAATTTTTTTATATAAATGTAATTGAAATATATTGTAACATAAATGTAATTTCTATATAAATTTAAAATAATTACTTGAAAAATAAGAACTACATGTTTTTATGATGTTTAAATTGTTTTGTTACTCTCAAATTAAGATTTATCTATTTCAATTATTTTTGAAATTTTTTTAAAGATAACTTTTACATTTTAAAATGGCGATATCTATAAATAAAATTTCATAACATATTTTGTATATAAAATATTAAGGTATGCTTCTGAACCATAGAAAACTTGACAAGTTGTAATCACATTAATTTATGTATATATACATACGAGCATACATAACAAATAATTTTCATTATTTATCTATGTACATATAATAATGTTATTTTTCATTTTATAAAAAGAAAAATAATCTAAAAATAATAAGTGCTGCCGACTATTATGAAATTTATAATAATATGAAACAATACAAATTATCTTACTTACTCTGTACACTAGATCAATTCTTCATTAAGAATTGTCTTCAAAAGTTTTAACAAAGTTTTAACTCTAAACTTTAACTTTTAACTTTAAATTTTCTTCTTAGGCAATTATGGCACTAAATATGTAATTATTAAGATTAATATGAAGATGAATGAAAATAAACAGGAAAATTGTTTCCTTTAAAATCTTATTTCTATTTGAAGTGAAAATACAGTTTGCATCGAGAACATCATTAGTGACAGCTTTCACGATGCCTGATTACTAATAAAAATTAGCTGTTTTCATTGCTTGATTGATACAAATTCAGACTCGGTAAATTCAATTCGGTATTGATATATATTATATAAGAAGTTTTAAGTTTCGACATATTTTATTTAGCTTTGTATCTTAAATTTTCTTCAATCTTATTTTGAATATTTTTTTGAACGGTGAAGTTATTGTTAATCGTTTAATTTACGTTTCAAGTAAAAAGTGTATCAGATGTATATTTTTTTTAGAAATTTCAAATTTTTTACATATAGCAGAAACTAGTGGATTATTAATTTAATGAATATTTTAGTTGCGGTACTATTTATCAGTTAATTGCTAATATTTTAAAATATAAGAATTAATTATTTAAATATGTATAAAAATTTAAACAGAGCTTTTAATAAAGTAGTTTATATAAAAACATTAAAATATTCATGTTCGTTATTTTGTCAAATTAACTAAAATAATTTCTTTTAGATGATCATTACTTCTCAGATGACTTTGATAACTTAATTTTTTATATAATTAATATAATTAGTTTTTAAATAAATGGTCGAAAAATATTTATAAAATTCATGGCCCACATCCTTTATTGATGAGGATTTAATCCAAAAACACAATTAATTGTTATAAATAAAGAAATGTCAATAAGTTATTTTATTTTTAATTAATTTTGGAAAGAGAAATTAAAAAAATTTCTGAACGTTTGATGAAATTCATTTGTATAAATATATGAGATTATATTGAAATAACAACCTATATGTTGAACAATAGAAACTTTTTCTGATTATTATCATAATAGTTGTGACTGAATGAGAAATTTTGCCGCCCTTGAGTTCAACATTGATTTTTCCTTTTTTTTTCACTTTTTTCTTGTGCTACAAGAAAACAGAAGCTAAAACGAATGGCGCTAGAAAAATACCGTCACGCGACCCGTTGCTGTATACAGAAAAAGTTAAGGTTTGATTATTGAAAGCTAAAAGGAAATTTCCTACTAACTGCATTTACTTTACCAATTGCCGATAAAATTGAAAGAATATATTTTAGTTTAACATTTTGTATTTATTCCACATTTATTTACAATAATTCAAGATTCTTATATAGACAAGGAAAATTTCCAATTGAGTTTTTAATTCATCATTGAAAATACATTAATGAAATATATTTATTTATGTACAAATATATTAAGTCTCAAAATATACAAATTAAAAAATAAAATACAATATAAAATAAGTATTTAAATAATAATATTTAAATTTTAATAATGTAAAATATTAAAAGATTATACACTCATCTACGTTTAATAAAATATTTATTTCTTCTACAAATATGTATTATTTTAATTATAATTTATTACATAATTCCTATTATGAATAACAAGATAAAAAATTTATTATAAAATATATTTTTGAAATAAATTTTAATATTATGATCAATTTTTCAAATATAAAAAGAGAATTAATTTATCTCCTTAATAAATAATTTTATAATAGTGACGTCTTTCTCATATGTTTTAATATTTTAATAATATATCATTTAAAGTAAAATAATTAAAAGTATTTTTATAGTGATGTACATTCTTGAAACTGCAACATGTAATTAACGTTTGAAAAGCTTATTGTAATTATTTTAATATATAGTAGGAACTCAAAAAATATTTATAAGCTTGTGTAATAAAATAAAATTTATTATATTTCAAGCACTATTTTAATATAATAGTCTATGCTCACTATTATTGCGATTAAAAGAATTTTATCAAAGAGATGCTCCTCCTGTAAATTTATTTAAGAGTTTTAATTATAATATATATAAAGTGATTAAATTGAAAAAAAGTAAGCGTTTAAAATTAATTGTTGGTTCGTTAGTATTTCAACTTTTTTTAATGCAAATACGCTAAGTTTAGCAAATTAAAATATTGTCAGATAAATATAAATAAAAAATTATTATTAAAATAAAATTAATAGGTTTAATATTAATGATGCGCTAGAATACAATATATAAGTAGGTAACTAGTGTTTATAAAATTGATTTTATATCCTGTAAAAGAAAAGTTCATTTAAGTTATTTATTTATTTAACAAAATAATGAGTTTACTTTAAATTTAACTGTATATTTACCTTATTAAAATAAACACTATAATTTTATTACAATAAGTTCAATATTTTAATATGAAATAACTCTATTTAAAATTAATTTAATGTAGTATAATTCTCTGATACATCTGCTAATTTATATTGATTCACATAATCGAATTTTTAACTGAAATAAAATTATGTTATTCTTTAGTTAAATATACTTACATTAAACACGTACTTACATTAAATATTACATAAAATGTATGATGTTTTTAATTTTTGAATTATTTTTAATAAGTATGCCAGACGTGTATAAATTAGGATGTTAGTTTAAAAAGATAAAATGTATTATCAGACGCATAAGAGATTAAAAGAAACAATTTATTCTATAAATTAATTATATTATTAAGTAATTAAAATGCTTTATGAATACTGTATTATTCATATATTATTAGGTCTGTGAATATTTAAACAATAAAAGTTTGATATATTATCAATAAAATTATTGTTATTTTTGTGAAAAATATATAACGTTATTAAAAAATCTTATTAATCATTGAAAAAAATTCATACTTTCAAATAGAAAATTATTACCAATTTCTCATTGATATTTCATATTATTCTAGAATATATAAATATCGTATTCCAAGAAAAAGAGAAAATTCACAATTGAAAACATTTTATTGAAAACCAAACAAAATAGCTAAATGAATGACTAAACAATCATAAAATTATACAAAAGATCGAATTTCAGATATATTTAATTACTCATGAGGCTATTACTACTATTTTTTATAAAGCATATATATATAAACTCTTCATTTTTTATAAAGTTATAATAATTTTCGAATATTTCTAGTTGCGTGATATCCGACAGCAATACAAAAGTCAATAAAAACATTTATTAAAATACGATATCTAAATTTGCTTTTCTAAATTTTCTTTATGGAAATATCATAAATCAGTTAAATGCAAGATATAACATTTTAGTATTTTTGTCTGTTTGAATTTTAAAATGATGTTAAAGCATGTATGTGGGTAAAAAGAGATAAAACAAAAAATACTCTATAGAATGATGTAAAATATTTGAAAATAAATATCGAAAACAGGAATATTTATTTTTCATGAATATAAATCTTTTTAAATCATAAAAAA